TGCTCTGCACTGAGCAATTTTTCACTGTCCCAGTCATTCTGGCCTCTCTGGAAAGGACTGCAGATCGGCTACAGACGAGTCCCCGCGCACGGGTGTCGGATTGGACTGTTCACTCTGTAGGATTGGCCCCGCACACAGATTGCTTCAGAAAACTTTGTCATGGTGGTGGGGGCTCGGGGACACCGTGACACCATTGTGTGGGCACAATGGGTAGGTGAAGGGGCTTGCGTTCTCTGGGAAGTGGGGAGCTCTGACTGACCATCTCTCTTCTCTCCTGGGGATCAGAGCCCCCAGTGACAACAACAGAATGCCCAGAATGTGGTGTGAGTTTGACCGGAAGGTCCGTGCTGCCTGGCTGCTGGCCTAGGTGCCCAGCAGCTACGTACTTCGCAGGAGGAGAAGCTGAGTGGAGATGGTCATCCAAATAGCCATGGTGGCTCTGGTCAGAGGGACAGATGGTCCACAGGATGGCAGTGCCTTCAGGATGCCCAGGTGCACGGACAAGGGGCTCCACCAGCCTCTGCCGTATCTGATGATGGGGACCACGGAACACTCAGTGCTGCCAGAGCCAGGCCCTAAAACTGGGCAAACAGAAAACAACCTGATTCAAAACTAGACATTTCTCCAAAGACGCACAAGTGGCCAATAAGCCCGTGGGAACACGCTCAACATCGCTAATCTTGTGGGAAATGCAACTCACGACGACACGGAGGTCCCGCCTCACACCCATTACGGTGGCAGCTGTCGAGAACAAGCAAAAACCAAGTGTTGGCGAGAATGTGGAGAAATCGGAACCCTCGTGCGCTGTCTGTGGGAACAGAAAACGGGGCAGCTGCTGTGGAAGACGGTATAACAGCTCCTCAAAAAATTAAAAATAGAATTACCAGATGATCCAGCAATTCCGCTGTGGTTACGGGCCCAAAAGACTTAAAAGCAAGGTCTGGGAGAGAGACTTGGACATTCATGTCGACAGCAGCGTGAGGCAGCATCGCTGAAGCCTGCGAGCAGCCCTCGTGTCCCCCCATTGGACGAACGGACGAGCAAGATGCAGTCCGCCCGGACCAGGGGCTGTTACTCCGCCTTGAAAAGGAGGGACGTTCTGACGCCTGCTGCCACACGGGTCCACCTTGAGGATGTTGTGCTCACTGAAATCAGCCACAGAAAGACGGACGCTGTCTGATTCCATTGATCGCATTAGGCAGAGTCGTCAAAATGCTGGAGGCAGTAGGGTGGTGGCTGCTGGAGCAGGGGACACGGGACGGGCAGCTGGTGTTTCACAAGGTGACGGGGGCTCTGGAGGTGGACGGTGGTGAGACGTTACAACATCACGATGTATTTACCACCACCGAACAGCATACTCAAAAATGTTCAGATAGATCGTATGTCCCGTGTATCTTATCACAATATAACAAGATTGGAGAAAAGTTACCAGTGGCGTCCAGGGCTTAGGGAAGAGGGAGCGGTGGCCAGGAGGGCGCGGGGCACTTCCGGGCAGGGAGATGGTGGGTCCACACCATACGTTTGTCCAAACCCGCGGGCTGTGTGCACCGAGATGGGCTCTTGGCGACGCCGCATGTCCGTGGGGGCCGCGGGCTGTCACGGCACACCCTCTGCGGGGTGCTCGTGGCAAGGAGGCCGTGCATATGTGGAGAGCGACGGGCTCCATTTTGGTGAGAACCTGTGATTGCTCTGAAAAGGCACATGTCACTCAAAGGAAAGAGAAAAACAAAAACCCACTCGCCAAACAGTGTTCTCCGGTGGCGCCTGCTATCGCCGCACCGTCTGTCCTCTGCTCTGACGGTTCTACTCTGCGTGTTTGAATTGCACTCGCGGGAACAACGGTGTGGCTCTCTTCCTGTGTGTCTTGCCGGCCGTGCCCTCTCTGGTGACGCATCTGGGCACGTCCTGCCCCCTCTCTAGCTGCTGTGCCCAGGCCCTGCCGCCTGGCGCAGGAGGAGCCACGGGGGCTTCCGGCTCTGCTGGGGCTGCCAGGGCGCACCCCAGTGCCGTGCTCCCCACGGCGCCCCGCGGCGGGGGCCTGGGCCATGCCTGTTTCTCATTCACATGTCACCGGGCCGGCCCAGGCTCCACCCCCTGCTTGAGGAGACGCTCTGGTTAGTGCCCTTTGAGGCCCCATGCTCTGCAGGGTCTGGAAAGTTCGCTGGTCTCCCTGCAGCTTCCTGTGGCAGCTTTTTAACTTTTCCTGACTTTGAACAAGTGCCGCCTGCCCGCTGGCCCATCTTCGGGGCACCCGGAGCGGATCTTCCCGTTGTTGTCTTTTCTGGCTTCCCCTGAGCTCCGAGAGGGCGGTCACGGTCACAGGCTTACAGCTGCGCCCCTCTCCCCTGTGGTCTCAGGAATTATCAAGGTCCGTGGAGTTTGTGTGGGGGCTCTTATCTGTTGGGATTCACCCTACTAGAAACGAAATGAAGAAAAGTAAAGGTATTTAATAAAAAAATAACTCATTATTAACATAAATAACAATTTTTAATGAAAAGCAGCTCTATTTTCCAAAACAAAATTGGTGAGTCTTTAGATCTCAAGACAATGGACACAGAAGCGGTTGTCCTTCAGACTATTATTACACAGGTTATACAGGAATTAAAATAATGCACCAGACCCACACGTCCCAGCGTGAATAGATCTTCAAAACAAAACTACTTTCCACTTTTACACTTTTTACAAAAAGCTTTCAAACAAAGCCTGTGTATACACATCTAGCTGGTAAATCGTCAGGCAGCTCGCACAGTGGCCTTGCTTTGGTGGCGGACGGGGGTCTAGCATGGGGCACGGAGGGTGCAGGGCTCCGTGTGCGCCCCCTTGCTAACTGCTTGGAGCCTCGAAGCAAAGTGCAGGATGGAAACGGCGGCTCAAAGACCAGCAGGAGGGCCACCCGTCACTCATTGTGAGTATGGAGGACGGGGCTTCTTGCCCTCCACTCTGAGCACACACATCAGCCTCTGGGGACTCCAGGCACAGGAGGAGTGTGGGGGACAGCCGTGCCAGCACTGTCTTCGCTGGTATGGGGGGGGGG